TTCCGAAAAATCGTTTGATGGCCAAACGTCCGCTTGTCAACAAGAGTAGAAGCTAAACTGTTCAGATAATTTTTTTCCAAAATCGATATCCTCCAATTGATCGAGTGATATCGCAGCTTCTTGAATTTGAAACTATTTTCTTTTTTGGGGTTCTTTACAAAAAGCTCCTTACAACATTTTCAAGAAAATGGCTCCATTGTTTTTGATTTAATTTTGTAGCTCGAACGTGTAAATGACATTACAGAGAATGGTGCAGGTCTCATTTTCATTTATAACAGTGATTTTTCAAAAATTGAAAACTTTACCAGTTTTCCTACAAATACTATAATGAAAATAATAATTTTTCTTAATGAAACTTGTTCAAAAATGACAGATTTAAAAATAATGCGGAATTCAATTTTTCAAAAACCTTAGTATATTGTAAGAAATTTTGTGTAAAAAACAAAAAACAAAAAGAAAACAGTTTTTCTTAAAAAGAATATAAATTGTTTTTATTAAATTTGGATCTTAGATAGCATAAAGGATGCTTAAGCGAATGGTGCATGTTGCATGTTTATTAAAATGCCTGATATTTGAAAATTTAAAATTTTTCTTCTTTTTTTTCTACAGTTACAATTGTCAAAATACATTTTTTTTTTTTTAAAATGAAATGTGTTCATCATTCATTAAGGTCTTGTTAAATTTTCAAAAAATGAGTATGTTTTGAGTAATTGAGGTTAAACATAGTCACCCACTCTGAATACCCTGCGCTTCATGAACGTAATATGAGAAGTGATTCCAGGCAGTTGGGAGCTACCCAAGTTACTTTTTGTTCGTTTCTTACATTTAAGCTTTGGTTACATGTATACAAATTAAGCTTTTAGAAATCCTTTAAAACCTTCCCTAATCCTTAACCCTAATCCTTATAAATATATGAAGTAAAAATTGCCAGCCTTCCAGGAATATCAGATTGGAATGCAACAATTGCGTTCTGCTTCACGACTCAGCAGCAGAATTTCTCTGAATTACGTCTCATTGTTGTGTCACGATTTAGCTGTATGATAAGCAGTTACAACAGTAAAATTTGTTTATATTTGCTTAAAAATATTTAGTTTTCGTCACAGAATGTTCTCCGATTTGTAATGAGTTTTACAAATAATGATGACTAACATGTGTTAATTTGGAGAGAAATTGTGATATAAATAGTATTACATAACGATTACTAAAGGTAAAAAAGTAAGTGCTGTTTTAGCATTGCTAGTTCAATTTTCTTTTACTATCCAAATCAATACCTTGTAGCTGTAATCAATCCCCTTCTCTTTAAGTCTTTGAATCATTTCATCCAAGCGACTTATTCTTCTTCGCAAACGACTTTTTTCTTTCAATGGAGTACATGGTTTATTCATACCAAGAACATTCTGTTTAACTCTTTCAGATTTGGGATAATGTTTGGCATCAACAGTCTTCTTCCAAAATTCCTTGCAATTGTATTTTCTGGTGACAAACTCAGCTGAAAGAAAATGAATTATTTCTCAATTTTCATACAACACAACAACAAATAACCATTATTTATGCGATTCATTTTACAATTCAAAAACTAATAACTAGTAATTCTGATATGCAAATAGTTTTGAATCTGCAAAAATATAATTTGTAGAGTACGGCTGTATGAGTAACATGTCACAGATTCAACAAACATTCAAAACGATGCATCTCTAAACCATCAATTACATAAATATAATAATTGTGTTCTTTACCTTTTAAAATTCTATTAAACATAATGTAATTGTTCATAGTTTCAGCAGCTATTTTAGCTACTGCAGAAGATTCAAATTCTACAAATGCATATCCTTTGCTTCTTCCAGTCTGAAAATTAAATGAAGTTATCTGTAGACATGGAGAAATCATGTATACCATGGCAAGAATTACACATAAAAGTGAATTGACATATATTATTTCTTTGATTTTTAAATTCAAATTGTCCAAAAGAATACACTGGTCACACCTCTGACAAGAATCAGTATACCACACTTATCACTCCATTACAAAATGCATGGAAGCGGAAGATATTCAATTTTAATAAAGTAATGCAAAAAGTAAAACAATTGTTAAAAAGAATATGCAACAATACCATTAAATGTTAAACATAAGAATTTGATTTTCAACCACACCTTTCCAAGGCACAAGTACTCATGGGGTACACTTCATTTAAAATTAGCTGATCATGAGAGCTGTGAAATAATTGAATTATACATGTATGTAATTAGTTTTATTCCAAGATTTATTGTAGTAATGAATGAAACTTTTAGTTAAAGAAGGGTAAGTTCAAGAAAACCGAGTTTTCTTATTGACCACTGGAGCTATTACATCCCTTTATGAACAATGTCGGTAAAGGGGTGTAATAGCACTTAATCTTACTGTCATTACAAACTTGTAGATGCTATTAAATGTAAGTCTCAAATTGTACAGTGGTAAAAATTCTCAAAATTAAAATTATTTTTAAATAAAAATGACAAAACATGGAATGTAACATGTGTTCCATAATGATCTTACCATCATCGCAAATTTGTATAGTATGTAGTTAAAGCACATACTTTCTCATATCACTTGTAACAGTTATGTAATTTAATATTGGAACTTGTATCTTAATAACACTTCTATCTCCTCTTGAAAACTTAGATTTCATTAAGAAGAAAATATTTATCTTCAATAACGTTGGGTTGAAAACATTTTTACCTTTAACATTTTTCAGGAGGTTTGAGATTTAAAGAATATTGGACTTAAGCAATTTTTACAAGCACAATTAGCTGAAAGCATGAAGAAAGAAAAAATGTGGAGACATTGATAACAAAAAGCAGACCTGCAAGAATCTTGTGTGTACTTTTAACAAGTAAGCTGCATTTGACATGTATCCAAAACTTTAATCACTAAACAAACGCTAGTTCTAAAGCAATTTTCTCATATCAGCATTTTCAAACCTTTTCCAATCTACACTTAATTAATAAATATTTTTATTTTCATTACTTCAAAATAAAATTTTTTTCAAGGAAATATAGGAGTTCCACAACTTTTCCTGTGTAATAAAATTCCTCGACAATTTCCCATTTTCCCTGCTTTCAAAGATGTGAACATGCTTCAGCAAGATGCAAGAGAAAACAATCCAGAAAACAAATCCTTAGTTATTTTCAATACCATGAAACATCTAGACAAAGTTGATAATAACAAATATCTTAAGAACAAGGATGTGATTTATATTTTGAAAGAAACACTATTGTTTGTCTTTCTTATTTTTATTCCTAACATTAATTTTTAAAGAACAGAGTGAGTTCTGAAATCTGAATGAAGCTAAAATCTATAGAGGATTAAACCACGATGTACACAAATCCTCGATTCTCTATAGCATTACGGGTGTTGAGCCTAGACCAACATCCTATTCTTCCCATACCAATTTCTCTAAAAAAGTTCAATAGAACTCAAATTCTCTTTGCATTAGATTAAAGAAATGAATGTGTACCACTAATACATTTTGTCAATTATAAATTATACTTTCCAAAAATCATTATGTTACTTATGGTGATGTACTTTGGATTGAATCCGATATCTAAAATATGTATTTGGAAGAACTGATCATAAACAATATGTTAATTACTATCATGGAACATACAAGATCTATTTAGATGTGAATTAATCATCACATAGCAAGAAAATGAGGGAAGACTAGAAGTTTTAGTAACAAAATCTTAAAGAAAGGACACAAAAATTGAAACAGTGCAATATGCTCTAACGTACCTCACAAGTTTCCTTCTTATACACTGCACTAACACAATTCAAAGTAACTAAATTTCAAAGAATGAATGCAAGGGTATCACCAAGAAGGAAGGAAATATACAAAACATCAAAGATGTTACCTTCGCAGCCATAAAGTTTTAGTACGTTTCACAGTGTCAATGAAGGAAGGAAAGAATGAAAATTACAATTTACTGCCACTAAAATGTGTAATTGCCATGCCAAATTCTACTATCATCAAGATATAAGATTAATTGACTGATTGAATGGCATTTCCGTGCATATCAACTGCAATGGTCATTAGTCCTGATCTATGTTGTGCATGCTATGAACCGGAAGGGAGTGGTGTACCATGGCTCATAGGAAACAACTCTGGCATTTGCCTATTACTGTTCAAATACACCTACAATGTCACAGTTCAGAGCAGCCAGCCAGTAGAATATTCTTCTAAACAATGGCTGAATTCAATCCAGCTATTTAGCTATTGAGCAAGTGTTGAAAATTCCATCACTGTTGGTATTCAAACCTGACAACCTCCCAGTCAATGTCAGTCAAACTCAGCCTCAAATATTTCACAGGTCTTACATATTTTTGAGGTTGAGAGGAATTAACAGTTGTAAAGCACCACATATATTCACAACCTAGAGAAAATGCCTCTATGTTTACAAACATCTTCAAAGTGATGTCAATGAAGTTCAGAAAGAAGATAAAGCGCACAAGATGACATTAGTCCAACCTCTCCAGAATAAGAATAGTTTCATAGGATATCTCAGTAGAATTTTACCCTTTAAATGAAGAAATGCATCTCTGAATGTTAAAACGCTTCGTTCTCCCAGAGACGACAGCATTGACAAAGCTAAAACACATCTTAGAAATAAAGAGAAGCGAAATTTGAGCAAAAATTTATGCAACAAAGGCAATAACAAACCAAAATTGGATGACCGCAATTTATGAAATGCAACATTTACATCAAGACTAGCAACACATGCGCGTGGCAACAGTGTAACGGTTAGCATATTAGACTGTTATACCCAATTTGGCGGGTTCAAACCCCATCAAAGCCGTGGATTTTTAAGGGCAAAAAAATCCTTCATACGCCTTCCTTCGGAAGAGAAGTAAGGCCGGCTGTTTCATGTTAGTAGATTTACTTGCATGTAAAAGATCCTCAAGCCTAAATGACGCCTCTGAGATAAATTGAAATCGCCTGTTTCTCGCACAAGAAATACCTCCTTTCTCTGCGAGTTGATGACAGGAGCATAACGAAATTTGCGTGGTCAGATGGAAGAGCAGGCCTCATGGCCTTAGTCTTGCCACGTAAAATAAGGCATTCATTCAATTCAACACATGGCTTCCATCAGAAGATATGCAAACAAGAACAATTCCATGAACCAACCGACATGTCTGTAAACTCTGCGACCAGTCCTGTGAACGACAATATTGAATGGTGCAGGAAGAGAGAAAAGTAATCAACCAGTACACCCAAGAGTGCTGGAAAACTGGGAACACAGCCCAGACCAAACAAATACAAAGAAAATGTACATTGGATAAGCTTCAGTTAATAATAAATTCAATTTTAATGAAAGAGTTAGGTTATTAACAATGATTTTAAACAGAATGGCACCACTAACCTTCTTGCTTCTCTCTAATCTAACATTTGTTACACGTCCGAACTGGTTGAAATAGTTTTGCAACTCATTTTCATAAAAACCAGCAGGGAGGTGGGCAACATATATCATTCCTCTTTTCTTTACAGTTTTAATTTTACGTGTCTTCTTAACTTTCTGTTGTACTTCCGGTTTTTCTTTTTGCTGAATACAGAAGAAAACATAAGATATTGTACCCAACAATTAAGTTATTTATACATTCATTACACACTGACATTGGACGAACCTTAAATACTAATTAAATACATGACATACCTCTACTCTAATGAAATTTTTGGCTTTTCGATGTTTTTTTATATTATTCACTGTCCTACTAAGAATAGAGGTAGACTTTTTGTCGGTTTTTGCTGCCATTTTGTAAGGTTATAACACACAGCAAACACAACACTAATTAAATTGATGAACTCAAATTGAATTGACGATTGAATTCAGAAGCCAAATAATGCGAAATGAGACCACCTACAATAAAAATAACGCACAAACTTTCTACAACTGTTATTTGTCTATGCAATACTTATGTACTCGACACGTTGTGTCGACGAGCACGTGTCGTCTATTGTACAGCTGTTGTTTTGGTTACGTTGGTACTGCAGAATATGGGTTTTCAATGGATTGATACCGGTTGGTACAACTGGTAAGGTACATTTGATTGGTAAATCGTAATCAAATCGATCCAAGTCGATCGCTTGATCGAAAATGGTTATAACGCTTTTCAACTCAATAAGGATAAGAAATACCGGCAATTTCAAATAGTGTCATTTGAAAGAACCCTAAGAGCCAGAGCAAATATTTTTCCTACTTTTGACAAAAATTACAGATAAAAAAATCTAGAACTACTTGTTTTGATGGATGTTTGAAAATCATTAGGAATTTGGACTGTTGTTAATCAGAAGTTTCATAAAAATAAAGAGATCAACTTATTGCCTCAATTATCCAGAGTTTTCCCACAAATGGCACTCATTGTTATTTCAGGGATGGCCTCATGCCCAAAGTATGCACAGGCTGAATTCATTGCAGGTGTTTTATCCACTAAATTGCCACATTTTAAAGTAAGAAGAATGGTTATAGATAAGGATGATTGGAAAGTAAGTATTCTTATGAAAATATTATATAAAGCATTCACAAGATTAATGTTGAGTAAATATAAATTCCTGGATTAAACGCAAATCTAAGGCTCACCATTTTATAACTTTTTTGATAATTGAGTCACATGTAAATTACAGTTATGAAAGGCAAGACAGTTAAGTTTGAGTTACCACTTAAGTAATTAATACAAAAATAATGACCTTAGCAAAGTATTAAAGATACTAATAAATACTATTTTCTTAATAAGGAAAATTGTTTCTGCAAGTATGATGAAAATGTTCTATTTCATATTGTGGCTAAAGTCTGCTTCTGGTATGCTTTACTATAGTGCTTGATAATAGATTTATTTAAATAATTACTACAAAGAAACTTGTGAACACAAAAGAATTATCAATTTCCTAAAATGGCCTTATTTCTTTTATTTGTTTCTTATAGAGACAATTTCTAAAAAGGTCTGGAGGCTAAAGATTTACTTTTCCATCTTTTAATCTTCACTTCCAACTTCTGTGCAATGATAAATCAATGATTATTTGTAATTGGACATTATTTTTGTACAATACTTCTCTTGCACATGATGTAACTCTAAGACCTAATCCAGGAATGGGGTACCTATTGTAAGCATCTGGTGACATGCAACATATGCTATTTTCTTCTTAGAAGACATGCTTTTTCTGTACATGCCAGTTAACTCATTTCACCATATGCTTTGTAATATCAACTTTAAAAAAATGGGTTTTGTATTGATCTAAGTGGAGCTTGTAGCAAAAATATTTGAATCTGATGTAAATGCTTTAATGACTGATGTAAATGCTTTGCAGATTTCAATGCAACTGCATTTTGTTGCTCAAGCGAGAAAATTTGGTCATGTTGTATGGGCATGGGACACCCAATTTCTTATTATTTTGAAAAATATGATTTTATGATGAATATTTTTCTTGTTTTCTAAATAGACATATTTCTGGTAATTGCGAATTATTATGCATATTTGAAAATGTTTATCATTACTTAATATTTACTATATTTAATTTAGAGAGAAAAGAAACATTTTTCATTGCAGTATGTAGAGCTTGAACCAGTGAATTGCATGTAAATAGACCCTGATTGTTTTCCCCTTACATCTTTCAATGTAAGTAAAACAAGACACGAAAACGGAACTTCCCTGTTCATTGTATGAAGTTGATCGTTAAGAGGTTTGCAAAACTCTGTTCAAAGTGGTTCTAATGTTTATTGTTAAATTATTTACTGACACTCCATTGTGGAAACGAAGTAATACTATTAACAAACACTACTCTTCAAAATTTCATTGAGTTATAGTGAGAGTCAAGATGAATATATTGTGCATAAAAGTAATGCAGATTAATGTATAGTGCATGAAAATCATAAGAAATAATTTTATTATGGCTACTTCATAGGGCATAATTCCAAAGTTGTTATGTCATAAATGGTTAAATATTTTATAGATAAAGTGAATGTAAACGCAGACCTTAATAATAACTTAGATTAAACTAAAATCTCAAATTTATATTACAATGGTTTTGTGAATTTTTAAGGATGTAGATGGTCATAGCATGCTTGAAATTTGAAAGTAACGCAGAAAAACACTAAAAAAGGAAAAAGAGATTCACTTAACCAGCATTTGTCATTTTTGATTTTTAAAAATTTGGAGGAAGAATTCAATCATCACCTTGTAACTTTGCATTAATTCATGTCAAGAAACACAAAATTTATTTTTTTCTCTACTTTTTACAATTTATTTTCTAATTTCAAACAGATAAACAAGATTTTTCATTAAGCCTAGCTGTAAATCAGTCAAACAGAAATTCATCTCATTTTGTGGATATAAATTTGTGCGTGTAAGTTTCATAAAGACATTTGCTTCTAGTTTTGTAACTACGTTTTTGCATTCAGCGAGATTGTTTAAATAGATTAAGTCACAGTTTAAAATCCATTTACAATTTTTTTATGTTAACATACTCTTTTGTTGACACCTTTAACTAAAAAATGTTTTTAATATGCACTGATCACAAAAGTTTTGGTAGAATGCTGACATTTCTTCTATTATACTATATACAAACAACAGAAAGATGAAATTTTAACAATTCATTTTTCATAAGATATTTGTAACATCTGTTATTTAGGTTTTTCGATTGCAATGTAGAGAAGATAAACATTTAGATATATGAATGATAAAAATTAGATATTGTTAAATTAAATGCAATTTTTAATTACAACAGTTTTATACATAAAATAATTTGTGGAAGCATAATGTAATAAATGCATCAAACATAGGTTTGTAGTGGGGAAGACTGTTGTACCTTGGAACATTTTAATTCATTTTAAGTACAAATCAATTTCATTTACATTTTTTATATGAATAATAATATAAAGAAGTACTTGATGAAGGTAAATACAAAACATTTTTCTATATAAAAAATAAAATCTGGAAAGTGTTCAGATGGTTTTGTACTAGTGAACACACATTTCTTTGGGTGAATTTAAAGAAAACCCATGGAAAATTGTTCACTTCAGATCATAATACACTTGCAATTTATAAAAATAAAGTCCATGTTTTCCCAATGTAACTATTTATTTTCAATTTGACTAAAAAAAAAAAAGTTATTTATTTTACATTATGTTTTGAACTCTTGCAGAAATTAACTTCAAGAACTAATCGTTTGTTATCATGGGTAACCTCATTTTACTGGTTTTGGTAATTTCATAACTACAAGTTTCAGATTCATATATGACGAATATTTTCTCAAAGCATAATGAATTTTGTTTTGGTAATATGTTTCAAATACTACACTTGACAATCAGAACCTACAAAATAAACATCTATAATTTCTCCTATGTAATTGACATTGTTTTCTGTTATTCCAATCTGAAACTTTTCTGTTTCAAAATGTAAAACTATACAAACACGAAGAAGGCACCAACTTCAGAATTGTCATATTCATTTTTCATAGACATCCTTCAAAATATCCGTCCTCATTTCATCATCATCATCATCATCTCTAATTTTTTGCAGGAACATGACTTAACTTAGCATCACTTTTTCTGAACTAGACATCTTGTACGTATGAACACTACGTACAAGATGTCTAGTTCAGAAAAAGTGATGCTAAGTTAAGTCATGTTGAAAATGAAAATAATTAAAGAGGAGTATTCAGAATGTTATCAAGATTTGACATGTTCTATCAGATGATTAACTTATACAAATTATCAACGCAACAAAATACAAACAAACACAACAAAATTCTACTTTTCAGTGCTGGAAAACAGTAATTGTTACTATATGACTAAACTAGCCCTCTACTACTAGAGCCCTCAGCTTGTAGTTGAAAAACAAAGATGAATAACAACCACAAGGGGAAGCTGTCACAGTCCAAAAGTTGAAGTGTTCAAAGGTACAACAGTCTTCCCTATTATTATTTAGAAATGTTGATATCTGATAATCAATATTAGAAGTTATTTATTAAAAATAATTTATTCTTAAATCTAATTTTAATTTCCATAATTACAGTCTAATGCCATTATCATGCAATAATAGTATGTTTGATCAATCTCTATCAGCTAATTTAAAAAAATTTCTTTACTTTTAATATCAAATTAGTATTTAAGTATGCAGTAAACCTGACATAATAAACAGACATTTATTTTATTGAATATTTTGATGTAGTATTTAAAGGTGCTGGGATAGATGGATGAGATTGCTACAGTTCCAGTTGCTGGAAAGGTTTAAGATAGTTCCATAGATTGTAGGGCATATAGTTGCGTTTATTGTCAATATTTACGACAAATCACACAAAAATGTTTGTGTCTGTACTGTCGAAACAAACATATCTAAGGCAAGTTACAGGGGAAAATAGTTAAAATTTCAATGTTGCTGCTGCAGAACAACAGAATTTTGTGTCACCATATTTCTTTTTTCTTTTCCTTTCTCTCTTTCGTGATCAAGAATTGGTTATGGGGAGAGTGCAAAAAAAATGACTGGAGTCATACAAAATCTCCACTTGTTTGGAGAGAATTAGCCATGCCTGGTGGTAAACCAGTTTTGATTGGTGGATTGAGTGAATTTTTGGAATACTGTCATGAATATTATGGACTCACAGCTTTCCTCACTCCTGAGGAAAAACAAATGCTGGTTGATGACAACATTAAGGTAAAAGTACTGTTTTGTCAACTAAATTATTTTTAGAACTTCAATAGACAAAATATCATCTTGTATTGATCTCTTAATCACATTAACTTATTCATTGTTGTTATTGTTGCTGTAGATTAATGAAAGAGAAATGGAAGAAAAAGCTAGGAGCCAATACAAGGTTCGAAAAATTCTCATTAGTGGTGCAACATTACGGATTTTACCAGTTTTACTTTCTGAATTACTGAATTTAAAATGTGTGGGGAAAGAGGCTGGTACAGTAATTCATATCTATGACAAGTCCAAGAAGAAACATATTATTGAGCAAATTCAAAAAGATTCTACACTAATGGGAGCAGACACAGGAGTGGAAGCTTCCAAAATAGTTGATACTCTCCAAGAAGGATTGGCTGATTGTGATGTATTTATCATAATGAATGTATTTTCAAGGTATAAAGCCATAACCCTTACAGAATTTGAGAATAATGTGTACAAAATAATATTTAAATGTGTCCATAGTGATAATTGTTTGATGGATTTCTAAAACTCCTTTGTTGCGTACAATTGCTTATCAAGTCATCCTTAGCAAATTTAGGTAAAGCAGATGCGAAAAAGAATCAGTGCAGATGATAATGCTAGAGAAAGTCTTGTCTTTCCAATGTTATTCTCACTACAAAAATGACTGAACCACTTACACTTATCACAAAAAATAATGTTATCAGATACAAGCAAAAAAATTGAAATTAATAAAATTATTTCATTATTGAATATCAAGTGCCGACTTGGATGTCTGATGTGCCTATGAGTATGTACCAATTCAGTGCTTTGATCAGAAGGATCAAGGGTTTGGGTCCCGCCTTCGGTAAGGTTGCTTGTTCCTTGTCTCTCATGTATGTATTGTAGGGGAGGGCCTGGTGTTCTGCTGACCCCAGATCAGAGGAGCCCACAAGTGTGTTTGAGTCTAGTGTATGATGGAATATGCATCCCATCAGAGAGAAAAGGGTAACTGGCTCTTGACTGGATAAAAATAAAAGCCCTAGTGAAAAAATTAAAGAAAAGAAAAAGATCAAGTTCAGAAGAAATAGCCAACTGATGAACTGATGATTTGTATCAATTTACTTTAAGGCTAACTACTAGAATTATTTTCAATTTTTTAATGTGCCTTTAATGTGATCTCACTTAATATAACAAAATTCATTTGCCACATTTTTATGTTCTTGCCTTATTACATTTACATAGTAAAGAGATAGTATTGTAATGCTGCACTGGAAAGCAGAGATTTTTCTAATGAAAAAACTTGTATTGTTGGTTCCTCATAAAGAAGAATAGGATGAATTCGTATATAATACATAGTAAATTACTTTCCTTAATTAAAAGAGGTGTGTAATCAGAACATGCATTTGTGGGTCCTTGGTACTGAAAAATCTACTGATGACAAAATGTGTGTCTGTGGTCAACGTGAGCGCCTAAACCATTTAGACAATTTTCTCCAAAATCAATATTCCTTGATTGATCTAAACAAACTCAAGGACCTGCGAGTTTAAAACAAGTATTTTGATTTAACATGATGCCTTACATTCAATTCTTTCTTCCATTTTTAAACTACTGATTAGTTTTTCAATCACTTTGTTAACTCCTGCTTAAGCCATTTCAAAACTTCAACATCACGGTTTTGGACCAGATTCATGAAAAATTTCAGAACGTGGCATAGACTGAACCATTAAGAAACCTCTATTTGGTGGTTACCATTTTTTAATTAACTGAAATATTCACTTTTAGAATATTTCGGGGCATTATTAGTGACTGTGAAATCACTTACAATCTTGTCTGTTCCTTTTAAAAACTAATGAGGCTAAAACAGCATGTACATTCTCGCCTGTAGTTCCACACAAAATTACGCGAAAAGTAGGTACTCAAATTTTCAAAAAATTATACACGACCTTATTTTAAAATCGATCTTAAAGGAACAGATTTCATTTACAAAAAAAAAAATTATCTTCATTATTTTAGTTGTAGGAAGACTTCAAAACTTTTGCAATTTTGTTAGTGATTCTGGGCGCGTCAACTATCAAGATTCCAAGATTGTTCAACATCTTAATAAAATCTTTGTTATATAATTTCTATCCCACAGTATGACATTTTGAAAGATTTCTTATTTGGAAAGTGACATTTTCCAATTTGTCTGACAATTGTGATACTTAGTATCTAATACATTTTCACCCTGATTTTACTGCATTTCTTATTTTTAAGACATACTAAGAGAAAAGACTGCATTTGTATGGAGTTTCAGATAATTTTATTGATGTATATTTTAACTAATTATTTTTGATGTTTTCCTTTGCTGTAAACCACATTTTCCCCTTATCCTTATTTCAAAATTCTATAACAATTCACAAATAATTAAAGTGGTAGAGTGGTGCATGAAGTGTTTGTAAGTAAGGGCAGACATCAGGAGAAGGAAGTTTTTAGATTTCTGTTTGGGTGCTCACCTGGCACTGAACTGAGAGACCACAGAGTAGAGCAGTCAGCCGCTACAATTTTCCTCCAGGCAACAGCTGAATTTGGCCTAGCTTAAATAGCTTCTCGTATTTAAATGTTATTGTTTATTCCAATTCAAAGTTCAAAAAGTGTAACTATGCCACATTAGTCCCATAAGTTTCTTTGAAGAGGTCAAATTTAATTTAACAAAATGTCAGAAAATGAAAATATATGATGCGTCCATCTGAAAGCTGTGTCCAAAACTCAATCCATACCATCTTTTTCATTCATCCTGTGTATTAATTTGGATCAATCAGTAGCTAATCATCTTTTCAGAAATAATCATTTATAATTTCACTATTTACCATTGTCCTTATTATGAACTCATACTTAATTGTCAGCTTTTATATCACCATTCAATAAATGAAATTCAAATTCTTTACGAACAACAGTTTCTAAGATAATTGATAAAAGGAAGAAAATCTTTCCTACTTTCACGAATTGAATTGTGACTCACCTACAGTACATCACTGGCATTTTACAACCCTGATTTTACTGCAGTACTGTGTTTCAATAAGGGACAAATTCACTTCAGTTGTTTTGTGACATAAGTATAGCCCTTGGTGCAACTAAGATATGGCTAGGAGCCTATTGTGAGTGCAGGATTAAGGCTAAACCAAAAGTCAGGATTTAGTAGATTCAGTTGAAGCCAAAACATTAATTATTTTCTTCTAAAATATTACATTAAATGTTCTGTTTCATATTAAGGATTTTGATGTTATGTATTTCCTGATGTGATTGGAAACAAACACGAAAGAACTTTCATTAGCAACATAGTATGTTCATTTAAAATATACTTAATCACTGGATAATGTATCCTGAAGAAAAGAAAGTCATTCAGTATACTTTTATCTCAATGATTCTTTTAGAAAATAAAATCATATTTATATTACTAAATGTTTTAGGGCTTTCATTTTAGAGAATGCATTTTTAACTGTAACTGAGTACTTTCCTAGCTCTCCAAATTAATATTTTGTAGATAATTTTTTAAGTGATGTTTCTAACTTTTGCTATTATTTCAGAGCAGATGAAAAATGTTTTGATGTAATAATAAAACAAAATTATGCTGCAATGGTGAAGCTAGCACAAGTCATTGATGATTATGCTCCACCTGAATGCCGAGTAATATTAGCAGGTGCCGATGACGCACCTGTTTGTTTCAATGCAACAGTTCTCGCTAATGTTTCTGAAAAGTTGGATTCTAAAAATGTAGTAGTTGTAACAGCTCACCTCGGAACAGAAGCAATGCCTGTAATGACCAAGCTAACAGAGACCAAACTATGTGATATGGCTTGCCCTGCTGTTTGGGGTTTTACAGGAATAAATCACTACATTGATTTTGAAAATATGATATACAAAGCAACATATTTTGTGCCAAACAAAAGAGCACTAAAAAGAATTCCAAATTCAACTTTACCACAAGGAAAATTGATAATCGAGTTGAGAAGATTTAACTATTTGATGGAAAATGTTCGACACCTGTGGAAATATATTCATCAGTATCAGGCATGTCATTTTCCCCCCCAATTGCTTTTAATAAAGAAGAAGTTGAATTAAATCTGTGAAGATATTTTGATGAGGAGGACTTGATCTTTTTACTGTAAATATTTCATGAAACATAAGATCAGATACACAATTGAAAACTTCACATCAAGTGAAATTTGAGAAACGTTAATAAGGTTGCCAAATAAAATCCAAATCACAGTCACATCCTAACATTAAAGTAAATCTTTTATTATAGGTGTTTTGACACTCTTATAACGGCAAGTTAATTGTAACTCATTATTATCACTTCATATTAATGCTTTATAAGCACATAAAAGGATTTAAATCAAAAATGAGTGAACACTCTAATACAGATTCCAACAGTAAAAACAAACCTTATATTCAGCCAAGCTAAAAACCCATGTTCAAACTACAAAATATCTCAAATAGAAAAATACATTTAGACAATCATAAAAACTTTTTCAAAATTTAACCCTTTGTGCTTGGAGGACATCTTAGAGAAGACACATCACAGCGCAACGTTGGATCGTATGGCTGTGAGTGATTGCATGTTCTATAGGTCAGTCGACATCTCTGGAATCACAATGGAAAATGGCGCCTTGGCTTGCTGTGCTCATGCACTGTGCACTCCTGTCAGATTGGACATTCTTTAGTCACAACAGGAAAAGGATCGTCAGTGTTTACATATTATGTTTTCCCTTGTTCCTGATATTCTAATCACAACATTTCTTCAACATGAACTTGCTAATAAAACAGGGACATATTTTAATTGGCAAAGAAATTATTAAATGTAATTATAGTAAGTTTATTTCAGTTTGAAATGTACTCTCATTTTTATTATTTTAACTGTCTCTGAAATGTAAGGTAATAAATAAAAACGCAGAAATAATTTATATTTTAAAATTTTCAACATGAAGTTATTTGACATTGTTTTTAAACTTTACAACAAATATTTAAAATCTTTTGTAGTATGAAATTTCTCAAAACATTTTCCAGGGTGCATAGCAGGTTCTCCAGGGCAGGATTTATAATAAAAATTCTTCTCTGAATCCCTCCATCCCTCTATTCCTACTCTCAATCACTTGTGTCACTTTCAAAAACATCTAATAATATTTTCATTATTTTCTCATCTTTTAGTCCACCTATTTTTCACTAAAAATGATGCAAACACATGTAACACTGGCCTTAGCACAAGGCAGGAACGAAATGTTATCTTTCTGATCTCTCAGATTATTGTACCCATGGTTCGCTTCTAGGACTTCATTCGACATGATTGACTAAGATCTTATCTGAAAATTCTATATGTCATGTCATCTCTCAGATGCCTTCAAAGTTAAATAGGAAATTCAACGTGTATCTCAGAGCTGCTCTCCGACCTGTAGGACTTGTCTCAGACATCACACACTGATCTATGCCCTGCCATTGATCTGTCATATCACATACCTTCTGACCTGTAGGGCTAATTAGTTTCTGATGCATACCGAGTACAAAGGGTTAAAATAATGAAGATATTTTTTCTTCTTTTGACTCATTATGACCCTTCTGGATAATTAATGACTTGTTCATAATTCTCCTCACTTTCCCATATCTCTTTATTTCCCCATTCTCTATTTCTCTGCTTATGTTAAAAGTATCTAGATCTTGGTGTAAGTCCACTTGTGACTTTCCAATAGTTTCTTGATTTCTGCCCCCATTCTCTACTGTTGCCTGCCTATCTTTTATTCCTCATTTCCTCCAATCATTTGTGTCTTCCTTTACAAGCTGTTGTCCCAGATATGTTGCACTGAATATTTTCTTTGTCAGTCTTTCATCATTCATCCTCATGAGATATGAGGATCTTTACCTCTTCTGTTTCTGTACAAAAGTTGAATGAAAAGATGCTGAAATAAATTTTACTATTGAGTAAATATAAGGCAGTAAATGAAGATTAATATAAATTGCAAACTAATCAATAATATTGCCTCTAACATAACAGTGCATTGCAGGAAATACTATATATATAGGATCAAAACCATTCAGATGATTTTCTCCAAAAATCTGCCTGAACTCAATGCCCTAGAAGTTTGAAATGGATATTTTGATTTTTATGGATATTTTACATAAAGCTGGAACATTTTCAAAATTTTCTCAAAAAAGGCTAAAAATGTTTTGATAAATTTTTTTCATTAAACAAAGCAAAGCGTATTTAAAAATGTGGCACACATTTTATTCATTTAACTATCTGAAGTTTAAAAATTTGCAACAGCTAAAAATGTTTTTGGTGGCTTCCTAAAATCTTTTCCCAAAACCAGCTCAAAATTGTTCTTTAATTTTTTTCTGAGGATAGATCTAAGGATGCTTAAAAAAAGGGTGCAGGTCAAATTTTTGTTGAGCTCTTTTCTTTTCGAAAACTCCAAACATTGCAAATAAAGCGAGAGATTATACTCCTACTATATAGCACCACTAGTTTTGACTTTCAATATAATTTACTTTTCACATGTCCATACTAGATCTTATAATAACGTATGAAAATATTATTTTATTTTAGACCCAAATAAAAGAATCAACTGAAGAGCCACCTGAATTGCCAAAGGTTAAGGCAATTACAACACTGCTTAAATTATGGTACACAGAAGATTATGATGGTGAAGTAATCTCTCTTGGCATCAAATCAGATGGTAAGTTGACATTTTGCAGATATATTTAGTAAGATAGGACACCATTCAGAATAATTTTGAAGCCCTTGGCAGAACAGAAATCCCAATACATAAAACTATTATTTTGAATATGGAAATTTGTATTTCTATTTGGATTTTATTTTTTAACTGAAAGAAAAAAAAAAAGAGAAAAAAGAAAAGAAAGAAGGACAAAAAATTAAGTGTGCAATTCCTTGTTTTTTTCAGAACAGAATCACTAAACGAAAGAAATGTAATTTCTTTCAACAGCATTTCTGATTATTTTTTATTCTTAGAGTTATGTTCTAAAACTTAATATTTCAGCAGTTAAAATGTAATAATTAACTAGTAGTACTAAAACAGCACATACTTTCTTTGCCTTTAGTAATGGTTATGTAATACTTTTATACCACAATTTCTCTCTGAATTGTAATCTCTCAGTCATAATTTTTTGTAAAACTCATTACAAATCGTAGAACATTCAGGACAAAAAGTAAATATTTTCAAGCAATACATTTTTTATTCACAACTTTAAATGAATATATATTTCTGTCATTGAATTCATTGTTTAAGGTAGGCAGTGTATTCACTAACATATCAGATGAGTTTTTTAGCCTTACAATATTCTTCGTAAGCAGCATGCAAGAAAGTAGAATAATTAAAAGATAATAAATAATACAATAATGATAGCTTTCACAAAAAAGAATGCAATATATATAATAGAAATTATTAAACACTATGGTATTGTAATATTCTGGTAAAAGTATTAGTTTATATTACAGTGAATGAAAGGCAGCCATTGTTATCACCTTCTGTTATCAGTGTGGTGTTATAACAATGGATTACAACAAACAATTACCACACATCTACTAGTTTTCACATTTAACACAATTAAAGAATGCAATTTGAAATGAAATAACAAATATAATACAATGAAATATGAAATAATATACATATTCTAACTTACTTAGCATCTAACAGGGTAAATTGGTAGCAGGAGTGGGCGACTTATGTTTGTTGCCAAAATACACAAAATATATTCATATTTTAAAAACATTCACCAAAACCTTATTTAAAACAGGTTAATTAAAAATTCATTTTGATGAACACAGTTAGAAAAAAATTATCTTTATAATTGTAGTTGTAGGAAGAGCCAATAAAAATTTTATTATTTTAAGTTTTCAAAACATTAGGGTTTTTAACCTACATGAGATCTGCATCATTTTCTTAAACATCCTTCAGACTATCCAACAACAAAATTTAATCAAAATCAATGTAGCCATTTTTTTGAAAATGTCCCAGGGGCTTCATGTAAAGTACACTTTAAAATTATAACATTGGTTTCAAATTCAAGGGGTTACAATATGAACTAGATCAACAGGAGAATATGAATTTTGGAGAATCTGGAGAGAAAGCCTCAAAATCTGAGTTAAAAAAAACACAAAAGGCCTGAAATGGCCTATAGAAGAAGTGAGGCATAAATAAAAAAGTGCCACAACAGAAGAGGTACCTCCTGCGACAATGTCAGCAATGGAGAAATAGGAGAGGATAATGGATGTGGTGCAGAGTGATGAGGCAGGTAGGTTTAGGGGATAGGACTGATTGGGTGTCATGAGACCACCCTTAGACTGACCTGTAAACTGAGCTTGTACATCAGAGTGACCCTACTACAGAGCAGCACTATTGATTCTTCGATCGATCAGCAATGCCACCCCTGCCATAGCTATTAATTTCAGTAAAGCACACATGCCACTTTGCAAGCACAGTCAATGCTACTTACTATAAGGCAGTATCTCCTGGAGGACGACTACCCAGTTTCAAGTAATAACCAAAACGAGGGAAAAGAAGTAAATAATAATGAAGCAAAACTATTATTCAAAATGTCAACCACTTATTTTGAAAAGAAACATCCAACCATGGAATCACCTTATTCAGTAACACCAACTACTACTCATTGCGATTAATATATCTGTAACTTAATCAATGTCCATTTAAACTCAGGTTTGCATGCACAAATACACACAACTACCAGAGAACATTAAAAATATTTTTTTTATTTCTTTGAGCACCAAATAAATGAATTGGCTCAACATTATAAAATGTTGATATGACAATGTTTATTACATTGCTGGAAGAGTTACACTGGATGTACAAAAATGTAAACACATGACTTAATGGGACACAAATGAAATAAAAAATTTAACAGTCCTGAACATACATGTTCATTATGTGTGATCAAGTTGTTGTAGGCCGAGGTTTTAAAATAAGTTTCCCTGTGTCATCACAAGACATATTGAAGTCCCCAAGCACAGATCTTGTTCTAGCAGTGATGATTGATGGAGCCATTACTCTTTTATGAATTCCACAAATGAAGAGGATTACTGAAAAAACAACAAAACATGACAAATAGATTGCATTTCTCCTGTGATGTTATGAAGATATAGTACATATTCACAGCATCACTAATCAATTTTTAAAACACACTTCAGGAGCTCTTACCTAACGAAACGCTTGCTAATGCAAAAAATGGATGATTCCAAAGAGACTGAGTGAACGAAACAGCAGAGGTGTGAGGATCAGTAAGCCAATGCCAAGCTCCTACCGCAGTGCAAATAGACATTACAGCAAGCACAACTGCAACAAGAACTAAAACCATAGTCACTAATATCATATAAAGTAAAAAATAAAGAAATAACTTTACGATCTCTTTTTTATAAATCTTCAGTTAAAAAGGAAAGCTAGGTCAGAGACTTTTCTCTCTCTTAAGTTCTTGCTAAAAAAAATGTATTCAAAATGGTATTCATGTAAAGAATTATAAATTAACTTCTCTAACGTTTGTGTTGATTTACAAATCAGGTGATTTTCACTTGACACGAGCTTTTGGGATACTATATTTTATCCACTTTGGTTATCATAAGTCAAACTACGAATTTTGGTATTTCGAGTTACTAGAGCACAAGGTTTGAAAGGAAGAACCTTGGAATTTTAATAAACTTTATGGTATTCATATCAAACTCCCTCATTTATCCTCATCGAACTTGGCCTTATTTGAAAATTGTTTAATTTCATAATGGAATAAAATGTCTTACTGTATTTATTTCATCCATAATTATTATCCTTGTAATTAAATATTTGAACAGAAAGCTTCTTTAGGTCATGACCATGTATCTTTCTGTACGATAGATTTTGAAGTTTACGAAAAATTGGGAGTTGATGTGTGTAAAAAAAATCATCAAAAAAATAATTAAAACTAAACACATAATAGATCAGGTTTATAACTTTCATTTCCAAACTTCACTGTACTCTACGTTTTAAATATTATAATAAACAGATGACAATCAGTAACTTTTAGTTGTTAAAAAAATGTATATCACCAAATGAAACAAATATTTCTCAGAGAAAAAGAGATTTAAATAACTTGGTTATAAGATGTTCTCATTAAGAAAATTGGGAGTTCATCAAATATCTAACCTTGTTATTGAAAGAAAAATTCATTTCTTCCACGATTATTTGTTCAATATTAATACTGATAAGTACATTGTAATGCTGAAAGTGATTCAAAATATTTACCAATAACCAAATATGACTCTCCTTCGGATTCTAAAAATGACAATTGTATTATTCATGTTATGAATTGGATATTCTCCGACAGCTTGGCTGGAAATTTCTTCCACGTTTAATATGGCTTCGAGATTTTAATTACTCCATACAGTACTCGCTATTGAGTGGAACAAAATTAGAATTTACACAATTAGATCTAAAAACAAGAAAATGCATTTTTTAAATCAACTAAAATGTTTGAAAGAAATCATAGTGATTATTTTTTGATTTCGAAAAAAATTGCCTGTACTTTCAGTGATTTAACATTTATCAAATTTTGGTGAATGCAAGATCATAGTGACATGTAAAATTCAGGATTTTTAAAAAATATAGGAAGTTTTATTTTTGTAATAACACACGTGGTGCGGAGGGTATGAATTAATTTTGAGATGAAGAGCATTCTTCCCATTTTCAGGAGGGGTTTATATAAAATAATTTCAATTTTTAGAATTATTATTATTAAAAGCATAACAGCATTGTTTAAAACAATCATGTAAAATGTTTATGTTTTGTTACTTTTCCAAACGAATGTAAAAAAAAAAAAAAAAAAAAAATTACCTAACAGTTGATAAATTTGTGATTTGAGAAATTTTTAAAAAAATGACTAAAAATAAAAAATATGACCTACTAGATGCAACAATGAACTTGCAAGTAGAATTTACATATATGTATTTTTCATTTTATAATAAGACAATAGTAACGTCATTCAGTTTGCCATCTTCTGCAATGTCAATATAATTCTGAAATTTCTTTATTTTGTAATAGAAAATTTGAAAAACACAAATGGAATACATTGAATTTTTTTAATATTTGAAGGTCTAAGTGATACAATTCAAACTAAATAATTAAACAGCAGTACTTCCATTCTGTTTAAGATGCACAGTATGGAAATGCGTAGTAGGTCTGCGAGTGTTGATCAGAAAGTTTGGTTTACTTAAATGATAATCAGCTAAGAGAATTTAGCAGACAAATAAAATATTAAGTCTATGTAACACAGTAAAATAAAATACTTTTACGTCTTCAACATAAAACATTACAATTACAAAAGCAATATTGTATGAATTGACTGTTAAAATAGGTAAATTAGCCAAGTATAATATATCAATATTGAAATGGACTCCATTTATTCAGAAGTTCTAAAATATTTCATAATCCCAAAGTGTTTCAATACCAACAAAAGTGATCAAAATAGCAACAAATCCAATAGTAGACACGATTACATACTTCTCCATCGCGTGGTAGATGGTTGAAGACAAGCAATAACTTCAGTTAATCTTCTTTCAAACGCCTTCAGGTCTAAAAACAGTAAAACATGCATGTAATCTGACACTAGTTTGCCGCACAACTGAAGAAAACACAACAACACGATACACACACAAAACATGCAGGTTAATTAATCTTAATTATTTACAAGACCTTAACTTGTCCACAATAACAGTCATGCAAAATCCTCAAAAATCCTTCATTCCTAACCTTCACAAGCAGTTTGTTCGAGAGACATCTTGCTACCGAAATAACAACACTCGAAGCCCGGGGAACACCAGAGAACTTTGGCCACAGTCAGTCATGTCAGATGGTTTTATCACAAAAATCAGAGCGCTCATTTCAGTAAACCCAGTAATTTCTATAAAACGATGATCAACTTTTACATATTTCAAGACACGCTATGAAACTTGTACATTCATTTATATCATCGTTTTTAAATGGCAAAACTCACATAAAATTTCTCTGAAGTTGGTAATCAAGAGTGTTAAATGGCGCCATTAAAGGGCTCTCGTTGGTACCACTCGCAAACCAGCTGTTTCCAGATGGCGCGAAATGAAATGATATACAATTGTATTCGTCATGAACAATGAAACAATTCTTCCTTTCAGTTGATTAATACAGTACATGGTAACAATAATGCCAAGCATGTCATAATTTAGAAATGCAAATAAAACTTCTGTTCCTACTGTAGTATTCTAAAAGATTAAATATCCCTTTAACAAATATTGTAATAGTACCTATCTCAGCTTCTAGGTCAATGATCCCCCATTTCCATCAGGTTCTTTGTCTAGTTTCCCTGATACCTGAGATGGCCCCTTGTTTTGCTTCTGGTCACAAATGTAGTTTTATTATGTGTGTGCGTTTGCTTGAGGTCTTTCTTACCGATCAGTTTTTTCATGGCTTCACCTATCAACACCAGGCGAATGCCGGTACAGTTCCCTAAGAAACGGGCCCCGGACTGCATGCAATCTCTGCTCTCTGTACTTGGTCCTTTCATTACCCCCTTACATACACTCACAGTACCACACAGTCGACAGACCATGGCAGGGGCGGTGCTCGCTGGTAGGAGATACCTGGTTAGGTAAAATCCCTGCGACGTATGTCGGCGCCTCCCGCGATTAAACGTGAACTACACTTACGGAACTAATGACTTTAGCGGTGGGCGCGCCCAGAATCTCGAATCAATCCATTGAGCTCTTTCATAACTTTCGTTTTTCATTTTATCACGACTGTAAGTCGATTCCTTCACGTAAAGCAGTAGGGCTAATAGTCTACATCTGTAGCTGATTTGCTTTTGTAAATGTTTTTTGTTATTTACGTCGGTAAACACGTGCTTAGCTCCTTAGCAACCAACCACCTACAAACGCTTTAAGAGCGCGTCCATAGCATCGGTCGCTAAAATGCTGGAAAGTTCATTAAAAATATTTTAGTGGACTCTCGGGTTCAGATTTTACCAGAGTCCATACTGTTCTGGATAAATTTGCCCCTTTTGTTCCCCTTGTCTACCTTGTCCCTTTGTCTCATTAGTTCCATTTGTCCCCCTGTCCCATTTATCCCTTTGTGCTGTGTGTCGTCTTTCCCCTTTTGTCCCCTTGTCCCACTTTATCCCCTTGGCGCATTTTGTCCTCTGGTCCCATTATGTCATCTTATCCTCTTTTTGTCAACTTGCCCTTTTCGGCCAGTTTAGTTTCTCCTCCCATTTTGTTTATCGTACCATTTTGTTCCCTGCCCATTTTGCACATGTCCCATTTTGTTCCTTTGTCTTAATTCGTCTCCTTGTTCCATTTTGTGTCTGTCTGATCTTATCCTATTTTCTAATCTTGTCCCATTTTGACTCCTGGTCTCAGTTTGTCCCTTGTCGCATTCCATTCTCTTGGCCCATTTGTCTCATTATTCCCATTGACCAATTTGTCCCCATTTCCCCAGTTTGTCCCTTTCTTCCCCCTTTCCAATTTTGTCCATTTTGTCTCCATGGTCCCACTTTGTCCCTAGACTCTCTTCGTCCTCATGTCCCCGCTTTGTCTCACTTGTTCCCATTTGACCCCCTTCGCGCGTTTGTTATATAGCTTGTCTCCTCTTTCGCGCACTGCGATATAGCTTGTCTCCTCTTTCCCCTAGTGTTGGAATTTGAGGCACTGAGGTGATATATTCTTTTCCAGGAGGTAATTAATTTTCAGGACGTTGTATTTCCTAAGTTCATTATAGCCGAGGTTCAGGTTCACTGTAACCGAGTCTTCTTATGCCTATTTGAAATGTAAGTGAAAGGGGACCAGTGACTTAAGTTCACTACAATCGGGTTCACTTTAACCGAGTTCTCTATATTAACCTATTTCATATATTTTTAGTCCATATAAATCTGTTCTGTGGTCATCACTTTCAGACCCCTGTACTACCTTTTAAGAAACCGCAGTTACAATTTTCACGAGTACAATGTCAATTTTTTCTTTCTCACACACTACAAACCTAGTATAGGAAAATATATGTAATGCTGCAACGAAAACAGCGGTTTTTCAGCGAAAAATTCATATTGTTCGTTCCTGACATCGAAAAAGTAGATAATTGTTGTTTCTATAAGCTCTTTTTTACGAATTGCACTAATTTTTTGAATCACAGGATGAAGATAATGTAAACCGTTTCACGTGCTGTTAGTAATAACTAGGCGTATTGACGCACTCTGACATAGGAAAGAATGGCCTACCTCCAGAGATAGGGCACTACAATAAAACTTGCACTAGAGTTACGGTTTACACAATGCATCACGTCACGTACATATAGGCCTTGATTTTCAATCATGTGTTGAGAATATTTGGGAATTGGCCGTTTTCCCTTCACCGCCAACTGATTCCCAGGGTCTCTCCGGGTGGCGCGGTGCACAGCGCTGGTAGGAATACATTATACAATCATAGGATACACGAAAAATAGAGTCGCAGTATACCTGATCTATGATTCTGTAACAAGGGAACTTGTTACAGTATCATGGATCTGGTTTACTGCAACTGTTCTTTTTTTTCGCAGGCGCTCTGGTAGGGATACATTATAACGCAGGCTAATTAAAAATGCAAGTGTCTTGCGATTCCATTGCCCAATTTATCACCCACGAACTGACAACTTAGAACCAAATTAAAAAAAAACAAAAGTTTTAGATTTGGGGTTAACATACACTCTAGAAAAAGCGGGCATGAACAGCAAAAAATTCTTCATGATATGTCACATTTCATACACTTTTGCATAATAGATTTGTGTAACGAATGATATTGAACTCGGGAACAATCTTAAGTACATCCAGAATATTTTTCTGAGAATTCTTGTTCATTTGCATGAAGTTAATTGAAAAACACAGTCTGTATTATTCAGGGATTTCTTTGGAAATACTTTCCTGAAATTTGGTCTCACATAGGGTTCTCGAGAGCTTGCCTTAGGGCGTAAGGGCTTGGAGCAGAGCCCAACTTCGCGGAGCCGAATGTTGCGGATTCTCAGGGTCGCCTTCACACGGAGCCACCCGGCAGCGCCAACGAGCGCTAGCCCCCTTCACACAGAGAGCCACCGCCCTGAGCCACTGAGCGTGAGAAAGGAAGGAATCGTGGTGTGCGAGGGTCTGCAGCGGCAGTCAGACAGTCAACTTGTACACTGCTAAACTCAGTGGCGCCACCCAGTGGCCAATTAGAACAGCGTTCTGCTTTCTCGGAAGCGCGTCTGCTCAGCTGTTGGCGGCTCTAACTGCCTAGCAGCAAGGGCAGCCAAAGAACAGGACAGTAGTGCCACGGGAGCTCCTTATTTCATACAAAATTTTCTCACTCATACACACACGAACAGAATTTATCTCTCGTTGCAACGGAAATAACGGTTAATATAATTATACCTAGCTTTTTTATATTATATGGATAAAGAAATAATAAAACCATAACAACAAAAATATATTTCGTAACTCATTAAATACCACAAGATATCATCACTGATTTTTTAAAATGTTTTTTGGATGAAACAAAATTCAAAGCCTCAATTAAGTCAGGACCTGGAGCCAGTTGTCCCAGCTGCCCCTCCCCCGCCGCTGGGCGTCTTTGCGCCACTCGGGTGAATACCTCCTTTTAAACCGATGCCCTGCCAGCAGACGCGCCCAAATCCGCTGTCGGTCGGGGGGCAGAGTCGACAAATTTTCTCGCAAATAATAACGCAAATTTGGAGTATTTTCAATACCCCCTCTCCCCCCGTATCACACCCGTAACGCGCGCATAGCCCCCAATAATTATGTAACGCTTTCGACAACCCTCTCCCTTGTAAAGGCAAAATAATGTGTATTTTTTATTTGTGTTGGGTATTAAAATTAATGATAAATAATTAAAGTAGAAATCAGTTAGCAATGCTGACTGCACCTATCAATAAGATTGGGGCAAGTTGTGACTGAAGGAAGGACGCATAGGCAAGAAAATGTTTGATCACAAGTCGTACACACGCTCTCGTAGGTAACTTAAGAATGAGAGTCTGCCGATTTAGATGTATTCTGAAATATACTACATATGAGTTTGAATATTTCCTTCGTAATATTACACATTCAATAAAAAATGTTGAAACCCTATTTCGATTAATATAGTAACAATTTACTGTATAATATGTAATAACTGATTTATTTATGTTTTTAAAACAAATTAATTAGTTCACATTTTAATGTTTTAGTACAAGATTTAAAATAAGGAATTATATCAGAAAATGCTGCATAATGTAAAAAAAATATCAATGTTATGTAAAAATTAACTAACCTTTCGCCTATGTAACACAAAGTAACGCTGCCTCAAACCTCTGCCCCCTCTTTAGCGAAACGTAATTTACGGACGACCCTTATCGCCCATTGCTTCTTGTGTAGCCGCTCGTACGCGTGACCTCGACTTGTGGTGCTCCTGGTGGAGTCGCTCCGAACTGCCTAGCTTCCCCCGAGCGAGCTCCGGCCGGCTCTCGTTCGCCCCGGGGCGTCTGGCGGATCTGATATCGTAAAGTTCTGATTTGGGCAAGGGGGATCATAGATTTGTGTTAATAAACATTTGTTTTTATATTGTAGTGTTTGTAGTGTATATATGATACTATGCAATATTATTTTTAAATAATTACATAATTCAAACATTGTAGATATTTAAATTAATTTTTCCAAATAAAGGGGGGTAACAATCAAAAACTCTAGGCCTGAGAGGGGAGGGTGGCTTCCATGGATCCCCCCTGAATCCGCTCCTAGATTGGTGGTATGATGTGATGTTCATCACACCCTCCTTGGGCGATATTCCAACTCTTTCGCCATAGAGACCGAAGTTTTGACAATATATTGAATAAAATAACGTAAAAATGGTTATTCTTTAGTTCACGACATTAAAGAATTATTTATTACCTCAAAATGTTGCGTGAGATTTTTGTGTGTTTACGTAAATAATCAAGTAGATGAAAATCAACATTTTATGTTAAAAGAGAAATGGAATGTGTCTTAATTCAAACGTTTATGTTTCAGGAACATTTGGAATTCCGCCAGGAATATTTTTTTCCCAACCCGTCGTGTTAAAAGACCACACTTGGAGACCATATGCAGATTATCCAAGGCCTGACATAAAAAAGTGCGATCTTGACGGCTTAATAAACGGAGCAATGTACATGTTATTGGATCACGCGAAGGGTGTTATTATGCGCTACAGTAGTATGTGGCAATACGTTGATTACGAGACGTTCAAGTTAGAAGACAGAATTAAGAGGGAGGCAGCGTATAGGTATCCAGAATACCCAGATCCGTGGAAAGCAATAAAAGAAAGTAGAATAAGAAATGAAATTGGTATATCTAGAGCTCTTTATCGAATAGAGCTCAAATGGAAACTTGATGAACAAGAACGCCTTGGCCATTAATTTCTCCTTCCAAAATAATTGCTGTTTAACAGAAGAGGAATGAAAGATGGTGTTATTAACAAAGATGTGAAAATAGTTTGAAAATGCATTGTTTGAATATTTTTAAGCAGAAAAGAAAACTTGAATAAACAATTGATTTTGTAAAAAAATCAACGTATTCGTTTTTATTTTTAATTTGAACAAAAACATTCTGTTCCAATATGCATAAACATGAATTTGACAGTTGAAGAGAGGATTTTTTGCACCAAAAATAAAAAGTAACACTGATTTATTCGTAAATAAATTTTCTTACTTACCAAATTAGGAAGACAAAAGATCTGTGAAGTATTTTACACTTGCACGGTATTGTTCCTATTATCATTTCTCATCCCTCAGATAGTTTCTCGTTTTCTCACAGCACAGGATGTCGATTTACGTATTTGCTGGGGATTGCAGTTCGAATATTCTTGTAACATTCTTGATGGTAGCATCTGTTAGGATTTGATAAACTGATTAAGTGATATTTCTATCAGTTTAAAAGAAAGTTATTTTCGAAATATGATTGAAATAGTAGGATGTGGCTCTCAGTACTGGTAACTTATAATTTTGCATGACCTTTACAGATGATTCGAGAAAGTGCAGAAAAGAAAGAATCGTGTGTGGTTAACTCTCCTAATAGTATATGTGGGCCATTCTTAGTCAAATCGCCCAACTAAATACCGAAGGGTCGAGAATCATGAAAATATTTATATTTTAGGATTCAGCATGATATAAAAAGAGGAATACATTTTTTAAATTTTTTGAAACGTTAATTTGTACCTAAAATTAATTCAATTTTTTAACGGTTTTAATAAAATTTCCAGTGTTTTTGCATTTAAAAAATTCAAGCTAAGACAGTATATATATAAAGTCTCGTCTAATATTTTGTGACACTATCTATATACATACATACATAAAAATTGCACAACAAAAATGAAAAATGTACACGAACACAACAACTTGCAAAATACCAAGCATCCAACAATTTATCCTGATAAGAAACTGATATCATCTGGAGTCATTGCAAACCACGTTCCACTGTTCCTAAGCTAAGCGGCAATTCATTTAGCGCATTATTTTAACTTTTTCTAACAAATAAAACGCACAATTTTACATAAAAGTGTTAGTGGCTCCAAAAGCCAGCACCTTGGTGCCAAGTCACACCATTTTAAGGTCCTAGGAGGATGAAATCATAACATGAAAGACACAATTAACAAATTCAAATATATTTTGAACCATTTAGAGAGCTCCCAGGAAATTTGAAGAGCCTCTTTCACAAATGTCGCGAAGCAATTCCACAAATTGTTGGGTTAAAAAAGAGGAAAATTAGGGATTGGACAAATTTACGGAAATACAAATGTTAAAAAATTACGTAAAACGTCGGGGCCTGTTAAAATTTCCAGTAGTGCAGCGGTTCCTTGCATTCGCCCTGTGTTCATGGCTACGATTGATTGATGATTCCGGGCTAAGGCCAACTGCTAAGGTCATTTATCACGTAAGTGTAGTGCATGTTTTCTTCTCGGACGGTGGCCGTGATTTCCAGCTGGATGGTGAGATCTGGCGCCGAACTATGTCAGCTAGTGGGGTTTTTCCAATCACGTTATCTCCCACCAGCCGGGCACTACTCCAGCTCAGGCAAGCTCTAAGCTCCAGACCGGTCTCCCGGCAGTGGGGTAGCTCAGAACTGGAACGACCAGGCTTTGAATGGAAAAGTTACCGTGAAAGTAAACTGTTCTGTCGGGATCCAAACGCCAGCCTATCGGCATATTTGTGCGCCGGCGGAGGGTGCGGATGAGAGCCAAAATCATAGGTGCACACTCCGGGGTGAATTCCCCCTCTTAGAACAAGTCATTGTGTGGTGTAGTAGACAACAAAGTGTTGGGCATTTAGTGCGTTTGCATTGTAAGTAGGGAGTGAGCATTGGGCAAGGAAGGGGAAGGAAAGATGGCGCGCGGTCCGTGGCCCGTTTGTTAGAGTACTGCTCCAGCATTCGCCTGGTGCTGATCGGAGAAACTACGGAAAACTACCGATCGGATCAGCCGCCCGTTATAATTCTCCCTCCGTCAGCGACTGAATTGAAAATCCTGCCACACCAGCCGAACTCAAACTAGAACCCGCCGGACAGAGGCAGTGCATTTGATCCCCTGAGCTACCTCTCCCGGTCTCACAGCTGAGGAAAAGGGCCATTTAGGAGTGGAAGATCTACTCATCAGTCAGCTCCGAGGAGGGGGCTGGCGTAGGACACAAACGAAGCGTCGCAGGTGGTCCGTGGCTCGTAACTGCGCGTGGTACTGTTGCGTTTACGCTCCATTTCAGTTATGCGAGTGTGACTTCGAGTTATATTACGACGACATACTGCTTATGTCGCAATCTCCCGCTGCATTTCTCCGCGATTTAATCAACATCAAGGACGCGGGCTTCCAAATAAACGAATTAGAAATCGGTCACCCGGCCTCAGACTCGAGTTAAGATTATACTTGTAGGTGTCATCCTAGATTTGTACACTAAGACTGTTTCTGCTGGCCGAGCATAGTTAGCCGCTGATCGCATCGTACCAGGGCTGATCGCATCGTCCCAGGGCTGATCGCATCGTCCCAGGGCTGATCGCATCGTCCCAGGGCTGATCGCATCTTCCCAGGGCTGATCGCATCGTCCCACGGCTGATCGCATCGTCCCACGGCTGATCGCATCGTCCCACGGCTAATCGCATCGTCCCAGGGCTGAACGCATCGTCCCAGGTTTGATCGCATCGTCCCAGGGCTGATCGCATCGTCTGAGGGCTAATCGCATCGTCCCACGGCTGATCGCATCGTCCCACGGCTGATTGCATCATCCCAGGGCTAATCGCATCGTCCCAGGGCTGATCGCATCGTCCCACGGCTGATCGCATCGTCCCAGTGCTGTTCGCATCGTCCCAGGGCTGATCGCATCGTCCCAGGGCTGATCGCATCGTCCCAGAGCTGATCGCATCGTCCAAGGGCTGATCGCATCGTCCCACGGCTGATCGCATCGTCCCAGTGCTGTTCGCATCGTCCCACGGCTGATCGCATCGTCCCAGGGCTGTTCGCATCGTCTGAGGGCTAATCGCATCGTCCCACGGCTGATCGCATCGTCCCACGGCTGATCGCATCGTCCCACGGCTGATCGCATCTTCCCAGAGATGATCGCATCGTCACGTTCTCGAAGCTTCCTCTCCCGGAGAGGTCCTCAGGCAGACTGAGGCTCTCAGCCCAACGCACAACGCAGGAACCGTCGTTGCGCTAGGTGACGCACAACGGCAACTCCTGATTGGTCAGTAGCCTGATCCGCCGGAGGCCGCCCGAGACGGGGCATCCGAGGTAACATACTCTGAAGGTACAAATTCAATAGTAAATTGACACACATTAAACACAATGTGGGCAAGTAAAAAAAGCATAACGCAGTTTGAATGACAAACATGTTTATATAAATTGTACACTACAGCTAAATTATCACATATTAGTAAAACAGGGAAATCACGGAAATTATACAGTCATTAATGCAGCATACATTTCATTTTCGTGTATATTCACTCCCGGAAGGGCAGGCCAGGAGTCGGTGAAACCGTCACAATACCTCGCCTCAGGTCAGTGTGCTCAAGTGCGATGAATTAATGCAGATGTGACGCAATGCGACAATACATCAACAATGTTCGTGGGTCCTCCTGGAATTGAACGTAGAAAATCACGGAAACGACCGTATGGAAAACCCGCCACTGGAATTCTCTTCCAGACCCATGGCCGGGTTTGGCCCAACTACTTCACAGAAGGCGTCAAAAACATGTGTTATGTGACCCTGATACCGAAAATGTGGATAAATCGTCTTTCTGTGAGTAATAAACTTCTTCCTCTAAAAAATTGTTTATTCATTCCACGTTTTTGGATCCTTGCTAACGAAAACTTGGCTGACGGCAAAGGCAGTTTGTCAGTTCGTTTGTGCACAACGCTAGAGCCTAATCTTTCAGAAGATTTTTTTTCTAACATTAATATTCCCCGAATGATAAAAACGGATCCGAGATCTTACTAATTTAAGACAAATATTTTATTTTTTTGTGATATCTGGCATGACTTCTCAATAATATTTTCATTTTTGGTAAAAAAGCCTTAAATTTTGTTGATTAATTGTTTTTTCAGATAGCGCAAAGAACGCTTAAAAATGGCTGTCTTATTTTCGTTGAAATTCTGGATTTTCGAAAATTACAAAATACATTTTTCGGCTTTTCCTACAACTACAATATTGGAGTTAGAATTTTTTCTTAATGAAATCTGTTCTTTAAATACAGCTCTTTAACTTAGGACTCGTACAATTTTTCGAAAATAGTACGAGTAGTGTTCGTGGAAGTTTGCGTTGGCTAGGATGCTGTGCAATTTTCACATGCATCTTTTGCAAGGGTGTTTCCTCATCAGTGCTGTAGGGAATGACTCGGGAGTGAGCGGAGCAGTTTGATGCCATGGCATCTCGGCTGGGGAGACAAGGCTGAAGCCGAAAGATACGATAAGCAAAGCGTTCTTAAGAAGCCAGAAACAAGTCGCCGGGAAGACTCAGAAGAGAAGTGGTGATAAGAGAGAGGGGAGAGAGGGAGAGAAAGAGAGAGAGAGGAGAGGAGGCAGAGAGAGAGAGGAGAGAGACGCGAGGAATGGCGAAGAGAGGAGAGAGAGAGGAGACGAAGGACGATGAGAGAGAGGTCGGAGACGAAGATGAAGAGCGCAGAGGCGGAGAGTAGAGAGGACGATTTGACACGAGAGAGCAAGAGAGGAGGAAGAAAAGGAGAGAAAAAACACAGAGCGTAGGACGAATAGATTGGAGAACCCGAATACTGCTGTAGGGAAAGAATAGACCGAGATCAGAGAAATAATTCGGTGCATTGCTGCGAAAGAATTTTGAACGCGGACTCTAGAAAACCAGGAAAGATAAAAACCAAGACCACCTATCGGGCTCGAAGGAAAACCAGTTGATAGAAGCGGGGCAGGGAGCGCAAGTCGGAGATTTAAAAGAAGGGCGGAAGCCACGCGCAGAGAGCGATGCAGGCGGCGCCGCGCGCGTGG